AGGAGCAAAAATTGAAGTGGCGAATGTTTTCATATAAACAACAGATATACACAATTTACAGCAACTATAAACCGAATTCAGAGCATAAATTTGTTGACAAACACTGATAGTATATGAATCTCTAGAAAAGGACGAACGGCTGCGCTGATTCGGAATTCATAACATCGAAGAACTCAAATTGGGAGAAAAGCCCTAACAATTTGATTATTAATAGCAACTTTTTATTTTATTTTATTATTGCAAGTTGCAATAAGAGCGACAAATGGTCTTATACATTTTCACTGAGTTGTTGGACATAGTTGCGCATCTGGTGTAGTGGTATCATAGTACCCTCCCACGGTACTGACCAGGGTTCGATTCCCTGGATGCGCATTTTGTTTTTAATTGTTTTTTGGTTTTTTTGGTGCTGGAAAAAGATGACATTTCTATATGGGCAAAAATATGAAATTTTAATTTAAATGGCAACTTAAGTTTTTCTGTACAAAATTTTAAGACAATCATCAACATAAATGAAGTGTGTCATCTCTGATCATTTGTGTGGCCGGAAGATTAGAAGCCAAAAAACAGTGATCGGCTAATGCTGGGGTTGACCGGTAAACAACGATCAATGCCAGCGTTGGTCGGCAAATGACAGAGAGGGAAACAAGTGACGAAAAAGATGACATTTCTATATGGGCAAAAATATGAAATTTTAATTTAAATGGCAACTTAAGTTTTTTTGTACAAAATTTTAAGACAATCATCAACATAAATGAAGTGTGTCATCTCTGATCATTTGTGTGGCCGGAAGATTAGAAGCCAAAAAACAGTGATCGGCTAATGCTGGGGTTGACCGGTAAACAACGATCAATGCCAGCGTTGGTCGGCAAATGACAGAGAGGGAAACAAGTGACGAAAAAGATGACATTTCTATATGGGCAAAAATATGAAATTTTAATTTAAATGGCAACCTAAGTTTTTTGTACAAAATTTTAAGACAATCATCAACATAAATGAAGTGTGTCATCTCCCATCATTTGTGTGGCCGGAAGATTAGAAGCCAAAAAACAGTGATCGGCTAATGCTGGGGTTGACCGGTAAACGACGATCAATGCCAGCGTTGGTCGGCAAATAACAGAGAGGAAAACAAGTGGCCGAACAGCATATATTTCAAAAGTAAAATAGGTGAATTGTATGTAAAAATGGTTAGAAGTTATTTATTCAAAACACTACTTATATCAATATATTTATCCATTAATGTTTTTTTTTTCATCACTTCTTTGTGAAACTGAAAAGATAGGATATTACCTATTTCAGTTAAATATGATATTCTCTTGTTCATCACTTGTTTCATTATATATCTTGAAAGGGATTGTGTAAAGCTCTTCGAGAGCAATCCCTTTGTTGTGAGACTTTGTTAAGTGTGAAAGAGCAAGTCTCCTATAAGCACGTATTATTTGTGTGAAAGAATGAATATGTTGTAACCATGTTGTCGGTGCAAAAAACGTTACAGTCTTGTAAGCACATCCTTTTCTTCCTGTGGAGGATCCAATGATCTTGGAGGTATTTAGAATAAAAGTACTAGGGCCTCGAAGAGTGGAGTACGAGAATTTTTCCGAACCACTATAAATTTGATTTTATTTACTTTATGCACTTTGTGTTATCATACTCCAAGTTCCACATTTATACATTATTTATTGCTAAAACCTCATTCGAAAATTGACTTAGAAGTTTGAGAAAAATATCTATTACTTGAAATATTTTTTTTCAAATAAAATTATATTTCTTAATTCTGTTAATATTTAAATATGCAAAAAGAGTAAAGAATTTGACAAACCTAATTCACCACCTCCTAGGTATATTTAGAGGGTGTTTGGCTAAGCTTATTTTAAATAGCTGATAAGCTCTTACGTCTGATAAGATGTTTTAAGAGCTGATAAACTGTTACATCTTATTTTTAAGATTAATTTTTAGAGTGTTTGGATAATGGGTTTATTTCCTATTTTTACTCATTAAAAGATCTTAAATAAAAATGTGGGGTAGATGTACTTATTTAAAAAGATCTTATTTGCTCTCCAACAACTTATTTTAAAAAAAATTAAGATATTTTTCTAAAAAATTACCAAACACTTTGGAAGAGCTTATAAGCTCTTAAACATCTTATAAGCTCCTTTTAACATTTTATAAGCTTAGCCAAACACCCTCTTAATCACTCAAAATCTTAAGCAAACTATTTATTAAGGTTGACATAGAAGTTAGAAGTTACAACCACATTAATTAATAAAAACTGAATGAATCAAATGGGTAAAAACCCAAAAGAATGATTAATAAATGGCTTAATTCCAGTTTGCACCCTTGAAATATACCATTTTGGCACTTTGCACCCTCGAAATAAATTAATAGCACTTTGCACCCCCGAAATACAATAAATCATGCATAATGCACCCCAAATGATTTTTTAAAGCTAAAAAATATAAATTTAATATTTGTAGTGATATTTTTTTAGGATGCCAAATGTCAAATATTTTTTTTATTCATCAATCATTTTGAAACTATAAAGTTCAAAAATAAAAATACATTCCATCAACATGTTTAAAAAATATATTGTTTTATCAAAATAAAATATTTTACGAAAAAAAATCATTCAGCTATTACGTTATCAAGTTATCTGAAAATTATTTTTTCTTCCAAATATTTTCACCTAATATTTTACAAACAGTGACATAAAAGATCCACAATCGAATAATTTATTGATAAAAGATTATTTTTTTTATTTTTCTTTTGAAAGATAATGTAGTTTTTTTTAAATAATTCGGTGTAATTTTTATTTTTTCGCACTTTGTCCGCTCGAAATTAGGTTTGGGGTTCAAGAAAACAACAAATTTTTTTTTTTATTTTGTACCCAAAAAAGAAAAACACCAATGAAAAATAAAATTGCCTTTATTATTCAATTGAGGGTGCATTGTGAATGATTTATTGTGTTTTGAGGGTGCAAAGTGCTATTAATATTTTTCGAGGGTGCAAAGTGCCAAAATGGTATATTTCAAGGGTGCAAAGTGGAATTAAGCCATTAATAAATAGCAACTTTTTATTTTATTGCAAAAAGGGAAACAAAAGCATAGATATTGATTAAATACTATTACACAGTATAGCTTAATACAATTGCGCATCTGGTGTAGTGGTATCATAGTACCCTCCCACGGTACTGACCAGGGTTCGATTCCCTGGATGCGCATTTTTTTGTACTTTTTTTTCTGCTAATTTTGTTATTCTTTGCTGGAAAAGATGACATTCTATATGGCCAACTTTTGTGTTCTTCAATTAAATTGCAATTTTTTTTTTATTTTTTTAAATAGGAAAATACATCATAAAATTATTTCATGGACGACCAGGACAACGACTATGAGGTAAAATTTTGAGTTTTTTTGGCACCACCCTATGAAGGGTGGAGCAGGAGGCTCCATGCTAGCTTTAGTGCCCGAAGTCGTTTCGGCCAGTGAAGCCCGCCGGAAACCTCTTGAAAAAAAAGAGTAGTAAGTGCAAATTTGAGAAAAGTATAACAAATGGTTCATTGTAATTCTAAAGTAACTAATAATTCGAAAAACAAAATTCTCCATAACAATAAGGGTAAATTACACCCACACCTTCGAGGTATGCTTAAATAACTTTAAGGTCCATTTGTATCAATAATTACACTCACCCCCTTAAACATAGTTAGTAACTCTAATGGGATAATGCATTGGATACGTTATTCCGATAGAGTTTTAACGGACAATTACTTTTAGCTAATGGTGGAGACAACATAGAGTTATCATGAGGTGACGTGGCTCCTCCAACATTTCTTAAATCACGTGTAGCTCTTTATTGTCTACACCACTTCCGAAAACTAATAGTCCGTTAAAACTCTATCGGAATAACGTATCCAAGGCATTATCTCATTAGATTTTCTAACTATGTTTCAAGGGAGTGAGTGCAATTATCGATACAATAAGGACCTTAAAATTATTTTAGCATACGTCAGAAGTGTGGTACACCCTGACAATAAATAATAGGGAAGAAAGACGTCCAAAATAAAGTAAACGAGCTTCACGAGTCTAAGTTGGGTCGCCGTTGAAAATTATAATGACCATTTAAACCGAAGAGTCCCTTAATTTATTTCCCCTAATTTATTTGATTGATTTATATTAAATCTAAATATTCAATTTTCATATCATCATGCTAGAGTTATGGTTGAAAATCAAACAAAACTACTTCGGTACTCGATTATAGATCAAACGAGAATGTTGTCGAACTCAATTCATTAACATAATGAACCAAGGTTGAACAAATATTTTCGTTTTGATAAGTTCCGAAGTTCGACTCGAGCTCAATTAAGAAAAAAGTAAATAAAATAAGTTGAAATAAAAAACCAAGTTACTCCAGTTCGATTCATATTCAATTTATAAGATGTTAAAAGAAGCTTATAAGATGTTTTAGAGCTTATAAGCTCTTCTAAAGTGTTTGGTATTTTTTTTTTTAAAAACACCTTAATTTTTTTTAAATAAGCTGTTGGAGAACAAATAAGATCTTTTAAAAAAAGTACATATATCCCACATTTTTTATTTAAGATCTTATATTGAGTAAAAATAGGAAATAAACTTATTGTCCAAACACTCTAAAAATTAATCTTAAAAACAAGATGTAACAACTTCTCAACTCTTAAAACATCTAATCAGATATAAGAGCCTGTCAACTGTTTAAAAGAAGATTAGCCAGACACCCTTTTAGTTATTCACAAGTTTAAACAAAACTTTTAATGTATGTAGACACAAATTAAACAAGTTTGAGCAAGCTACATGCAGCTATAATTGATCTTAAAATCTCATAAATATTACATACACTTCTCCATAAAACAAATTCGTATGTGTTATTTATCAATTTATATTTTTGTATGCCAATGTTTACAAATTACAAATAAAATCTTAAACAAACAATTTATTAAGGTTGACTTTAGAGAAGATAGAATGTAACCACGTTAATTATTAAACACCATTGCTAATAGCTTCCCCATCTCTCGCCTCTTCTTCCTCCATATAATCACACAAAGTTTTCCCCTTAGTCTCCGGCAACAAAACCACCGTAAACCCGCAAACCGCAATCGCCGCCCCGAACACGCTGTAAGCCAGAGAGCCGCCGTTCTTTCCGCCGGCAACCCCCACAACAATAGGTCCCACAAGCCCCCCGACTAACGTCGACCCCCTCACAACCGACATGGCGGTGTTCCTCACGCGCGTCGGAAACAACTCCACCACGTAAATCAAGAGCACATTAAACGCAATGCATACGCTGAAAAACGACACCATCTCCAACCCCATCTCGACTCCCTTCAACCCGACCGCGAACACACTCGCCGAACCGCAAACCCCACTCAACAGGCACAACCCTAGCAAAGAACCTCGTCTCTTCAATTTCCCTATCACGATAAACAACAACACTTCGGCCGACAACTCCGATGCGGCGTTCAACGCGACGCTCAAATACAGATTACCGAACGACAAACTGCCGAGTCCCAACGGCATGCCGTAGAACGCCATGCCCACGCCAAACCCCACCACCACCAACGCCGCTAAACGCCGTAGAGCCCACTTTTTCTCCAACAAGATCGAGTAAATGCGACGATCATCATCAATGTTTTTCCGTACGCAGTTTTCGAAGAATCTTTCGGTTAAGTTTATATTTTTCTGCGACGACATGCTTCTTAGGGTTTCCGCGAATTCTTTTCTTCTGCCGTTGATGAAAAGCCACCTCGGAGATTCGTCAGCGGAGAAATACAGTACAAACGAGTCACTACAAGAAAAACTAGTTTCAGTAACCAAATTCTCAGCGACCATAACTAAATGGTCATTGAATATTCACATTTAGTGACCAAAAGTACTTTTGTAGCAAAAGTGGGAAGGGTTAAATCTTGTTGCGACGAGCGAACATTTGGTAGCTATAAGTGGTCACTAATAGCTAGACATCTTGTAGCAACTAAAGTTAAAGTTTGTAGCGACAATTTTTATGGTCACTATAACTTAGTGTCAATAGTGACTAATTTAACATTAAATTTTTTTACGGTTGCTACAAGTCTTTAATTTAATTATTAACAACCATCTAATTGGGTTGCTAGTAACCACTTGAATTTGGTCACTATGAAACTACTTTCGGAAATCAAATAGATTTGGTCACTAATTTAGTTTTTAAACAAATCATGAAAAGAAAAGAAATTAAAAGAAAGATGGAGGGCCAAAATGCAAATAATGAAAAATACAGCCAATTGGCCCAATTCTCATTTTTTCGTTCCTTCATCACAAAACTGTTCACTCTCTCCTTACGCTCTTTCTCTCTCTCTACCAATTCTCGGCTGATATCACAGAAAATCAAGATGGAGTTCTCTCTTAATTTCTTCATTATGTGTGCCCCAAAATCACTCTTATCTTATCTCTTTTGTTTTCCCCAAAAGTATTCTCCTATTTCACCCAATTTCTCCAAGCCCTACTTCCTACCCCTATCAGAGTATTTTTGAATTCAATAAAGGGGATTCGGATGAATTGATTATAGGAAAAGAATTGGGGATTTGAAAAGATAATTTCAGATTTGGGTTTTAAGCAAAAATAAAAGTTTGGAGACCTTCGAGAATGAATCTCGTCGACCAGGACCCACCTTTGGAATAATTGTGAGTTCGGATGTACTCGGGTGCTGGTGATTTCCGGCAGAGGTCGTCGATGGTGGCCGGAGTCTGGAGTTCAGCTTTTGGCTCTTCAAAGAATTAAATGAACGGAGGTGTTAACGGTGGAGTATTGATGATAGAAGGTACCGTTACAAACCTCGAGAAGTTAGCTTCCCGTTGATGGTGGTGCTCGGCAGTTTTATTCGTCGGTGGTCGCCGAAATTTGGTGTGAAATTCAACCTGCTCGCCGGAACTCCAAGGGAAATAAAATCTGCTACCGCATCTGTTTTCGGAGCCAAAATCGAAGGGTTTGAAGTGTGAATTTGGGAATCATTCCTTCTCAAAACTTGTAGAGGACCTCGAAAACTGTGAGTAAGTGTTTAATTTATTTCCAATTCGAGCACGTGATATAGCCTTTTAGGGGTCGGAATCAGACGACAGCGAATCTGTCAAGAAACAGGGCAGTTTTGCCTAATCATCATACGGAGCTGTTTTTGTTATGTTGGAGTAATAATTTAGGCTATGTGTCTTCTGATGTTTTTTATATTGAGTTGTGAGGTTTGATTTGGTATATTATTTGGTCGATTTGGATAACTCTACAAATTGTTATGATTTTTCAAATAAACTGTGACAGCAAACAAGTTTGTCCAAAACAATTCTGGCAGTTTTCTGTATTCAACTTTTCGGGCTGTTATTGCTGTGTTATCTTAGTAATTGGGGGTTGGTATCTTCATCACAATTGTAGATAAAGTTGTGAAATTTTATTTGGTATATTGTTTTCCCAATTTGGATAAGCGTACGGCCTGCTACGATTTTTGGACGAAAATGTGACAACAAATAACGTTGGTTTCTAGTTTGATGTCCATAGTTAGCATCTATATGTGTCATTAGTTATTTGAGTCATTATTTATTTGAAATTTTTCTTGTGCACATTGAGCAACAAGTTTAAAGTAATGTGATTGAAGGTGAATCTTAAGAAACTAATGGATTCTTATTTCAGGTGTGTCATTCGTGGTTGTGTACCTGAGAAAATTTTGGTCTATGATGTTGCTTTTGGTGCTAACTCGAGGTGAGAAGACTTTGTTATTTGAAAAAGACTTTGTTAGTTATTTCTTCAAGTTATATAACCAAATTTAACCCGACAGCTATGTTCGCGAAATTCTGAGAAATAGTAAACCTTCTGCCACACCTGTTTTCGGAGTCGAAATCGAAGGGTTTAGAGTGAGCTTTTCGAATCATGCTCTTCACAAAACTCGTCGAGGACCGTGATAATTATATGTAAGTGTTAAATTTTTTCTAATTCAAGCAAGTTTTATAGCCTTTTAGAGATGAGAATTTGACGGCAGTGAGTCTGCCAAAAACAGGGCAGTTTTGATGAAGCATCTTCGTTGGGTTTTATTACCGTCTTAGGATAATAATTTGGGATATATTTCTGAAGTAAACTTTTAGATGAAGTTGTCAGCTTTGATTTGCTATATTGTTTGGCCAATTTGGATAACTTTACAAATAGTTATGAATTTTACAATAAACTGTACCAGAAAAGAGAATTTATCCGAAATTCTGGCAGTTTTCTGTAATCATCTTTTGGGCCTGTTTTGAATATGCTGGGATCATAATTTGTGATCAGAGTCTTCAGTGAACATGTAGATACGGTTGTTATCTTTCATTTGGCATATTACTTTCCCAATTTGGATAATCGTACCAATTGTTATGATTTTTCAAAGAAATTTGTGGAAACAAATGTTTTAAACCTTTGTTAATTTCGAGAACTCGTCAAACAAACACGAGTCAACTCCGTACCATGTGAATTGATGCCTGGAGTGTGTTGTATTTGGTAAATAGAACGCCATAGAAATTGTGTATTATGTTCGATTGTTAGTTATGGCATAAGATTTAAGTTAGGATGTTTATATGAAATAGAACCGAATAGTAAACGATTATGTTAACATTCGATAACTTATTTAATTCTAATATTTGATAGCTACTTATGCAAGAGCGCAGATACATTATTGAATTTTGAGTGCTACTAAGTGACAAATGATTGGAATTGATTCTATCATATGATTTCTTATTTTCTAATTGATTTTTTTCCCCTTTTTCAGGTTGGACTGTTTGATGAAGTGAAAGAATCTTATCGTGGAAGTCATATTTGTTGTCGTTTAACAATTTATGAAGTGGAATTTATTATGAAATAATTATAGTCATCTTTCTTATTATTTGGAATGATTGATTTATTATTGTATTTAGTATGATAGATTGAAATTATAATATTCACATTTGATTGATAATATGTAAATTTGCAATCTTTAGTTTATTTTATTTTATTTTTACTGTTGCAAATAAACATTAATGATTAATGCATCCAATTAATTATTGGTCTGAATTGGTCAGTAAATTTAATAATTGTCGAAATCATGTAAAAACTATTGCAACCAATAATATGGTCACTATATGTATATTATGTAGCAACCAAAAAATGTGGTGGCCAAATAGATATCCTATAGCAACAATAAAATATGGTTACTATACGTATATATCATTTAGCGACCAAAATTATATGGCCACTATATATGTTGCTATAGCAACCATGTTAAAATTATTGCCACCATAAAATTTTCATTAGCGAGTCAAAAATTAGTCGTTAATAATTATATTTTCAGTGACCATTATTAGTTCGCCGCTAAATCTCATCTTTTAGCGTCCAATTAATTTTCTTGTCACTGAGTACTTTTAGTAGCTACCCTGTTGTGACCACCGGTGACCAAGCTTAATTTGGTCGCTAGAAGTTTTAGCTACCATTTTCTAACTTTTAGCGACCATACAAAATCGTCACTAAAACCAATATTTCTTGTAGTGAGTATAAAACGCATGGAGAACATGTCCATATGTACATAAATCTCCACGAAGATCCTCTTATGAGAAAAGCTATCAGCGGTAGAGATAGAAACCCGAAACTATAAAACAAGAATCCGAAAACCCCAACTTTTTGGCGCCATTTTTCCCCAACAAGCTCGCTTGCATGGACGAGAGCGCAAATTCCGACACTGGATCGCCCGAATCCACTGACGAATCTCAATCCAACGTACATCCATACGTTGGTCGAAGCCGCGGTTAGCAAACCCGAAACCGACATAATTAGGGTTGACAGGACCAACGTATTCTTCCGACCGAAATACGAGTCCGATAGAGTGGCCAGCACAAAACCGCCGACCAAGCAGCCCAAGAAGAAGGACGAAGACGGGAGGGCGGTGATTACAGGTCCCGCGCACTCGAGTGACCAATCGGAAACGATGGACGCGTGCACCGGAGAATTCCACAACCACGATTCCTTCGGTAACCGGCATATGTTCGCGGTGGAGTTGCATGTCGTCGATGAGAAGTGATCATTGCATATCCATTCGGGTTTTGCGTCGGCGAAGACGGAGATGAACGTTTGTTGTGCGTCGAAGAACCATGCGAAAGATAAAAGGACGGATTGGATCAACTGCTTCAACCCGAAGTTGCCGATGAAGTGTTCAATTGTGTCGTCGAGGGAGCGAAGTTCCGACAGATCCAATGGTGGTGTTGTCGCCGCCGGCGCAGCCGGCGAGGGTGGTGGGTTTGGATCATCTTTCATGTTTGATTAATTTTGTGGGGATTTAATTAGATCAAGAAATGAATATTATGAAGTTAAAAATATCTAGTGAGAGAAGTGATCATGAAGAACTAAATATAGGGTTTGATACGGAAATCAGATGCTATCTCTCACTACTAGAAAAACTACCTATTGTGACGCTGTAATCTGTCACTACAGCCACCTGTTGTGACGCTTTGTCTGTTGTGACGCCAACCAAAAGCGTCACATAGGTGGCCGTGGTAATATCTTTTTGTGACGCCGAGTAGCGTCTTGAAAGGTAAATATTATGACGACTTGTGTGTCTCAAACATACGGTTATTGTGACGCTTTTAATTGTCACGATAACTATCTATTAATAAGACGGTTAGAAGCATCTCTAAATCTGCATATTATGACGGTTTTCATTGCTTCAATAAGTTAAATTATGTGACATACAATGCGTCTTAATAAGAGAGTTAAGGTGACGATTTTCTAGCTCACAACAATGTTGTAGTGACGCTTTTGGTCAATTCTACATTAGTAGTATAATATGATACAAAAAGCCATATAAACAATAATCATTGTAAAATAAATTCCATAAATGTACAGAAGTTTCATTCACAGGTACAAACAAAGAAACCATCTCCATATATACAAGACATAAATATTCATCAAGTTGGAACTTATTGATTTCTTTGTTCAAAAATAACATCTCGACAAATAGTCTACTCTAGCTCATCGAACTCCACTGTTTTGTGAGATCTCCTTATCCAAGTATGTATCGAGTAGACATCCTCTGCACACAGAAATATGACATTGAGTGATTAACATACTTCATATTGTTATTACTAATTTCAACCCCATCATGTACATTTGGAATGTAACAGAAGAAAAGCAGTTCCTAATACAAATATTTACAAAACATTATATATACCTTCATCATAACCATCGTCGTCTGTTAAGGCTCTTGGCTTGGACACTAATGGATTTTTTCATTCTAAGTGGTTGTCCTGGCTCTGAACTAATGCATAGAAAACAGTATTATAATATGTCATCTTAGTTGAGAAAAATAAACTATTCCAAAATTTAATTATGATGAATTTTCTCACCTCTAAATATAAAACAAACCTCCATCCACTGTTTCAAACAAATTCGCCCTCCCAAAAGTTACTCCTAGTACCTAGTAACCCCTGGTTTAAGAAGGAAAAAAGTTGGTGTGGTTAGTTAAAATCTCATCAGGACTATTTAGAAATAACTGTACAAGTCAATATAATGTGAATAGGCAAAAGAATGGAAAAGATGGAAAATAAACTTCAATTTTAACCTGTCGTCGTCCGTCAAACTAAAAGATTAGCCTTGTGCAAAATATGAACTTCAAAAACACAATCAGAGGATCCCGCCTAAATATATATATTTTTAAATGCGTATAACTATCTAAAAAGACATACTATAAAATTAATTATGATCTAATAAGGAAAACTAGGTCTCGAATTGATGGGTATTGTACTATAATTCAAGGACCTAGCGTGTAGAGAAAATTATGGTTAATTTTTATTTGCTGATCGGGCATAAAAAATAATTGATGACCTTTAGTTTTATTATAAGGATTACAGTCCTCAAAGAAACGTAACGATTCATTCTACTTTTACAAGATCCGTCGCAAGTGAGAAAATAATGGATACACGTACGCTTTGAAGATATTAGGAACTCAAGACGAGACTCAAATATTCGTCGAAAATTTCTTCTAAGATTCAAGGATTTGAATCTACATATGCTTATGTGTTTATGTTTCGGCATATTTTTATCGTCAACTTGGATTAATTACGAATTAATTACTTATATCAATGGGTTGTCAATATTGAATAATTTAAGTTCTAAAAATAAATAATAAAACGATTAAAATACTTTCTCCGTTTAACTAACTTAATAACTAGACCACCATTCCCGTTAAATAATGTGGGCCCCACTCTGTACTAGCTAGATTTCTCTTGCACAAAATGGCGAAATCGCTCATCCCAGGCCCCCATCCCTTGGCCCGACAAGGATTGATGGAGGAATGTAAATCATGGTAACTCAACGGCCCGTTAAGGTAGCGGACCCGGACCCCCAGGGCCCCCATCCCTTGGCCCGACAAGGATTGATGGAAGAATGTAAATCATGGTAACTCAACGGCCCGTTAAGGTAGCGGACCCGAACCTGGTGCCCACAAGGAACCAACCCTCATTGGAGTTGAAATTCCCACACTGCGGCTGCCAGGATTCGATCCTAGGACCTGGCACCAACTTACCACATCCAGAACCTGTTGAGCTACACTCATGCGGGCAAGCTAGCTAGATTTCTCTAAGTCTTCACAAAGTTGGTCGTTCATGGGAATTTTTAGTGCTATTTTTTTAGAATGTATAACTCTAACATATAGCTCTTAAATTCATATGTAAATCATACAACACGTCAAAGAATAATTATGTCACAATAACGTGGGTGTTTGGCCAAACTTATAAGATGGTAAAAAGAGCTTCTAAGATGTTTGAGAATAAGCTCTTCCTAAGTATTTGGTAAGTTTTTTGAAAAATATCTTAGAAATTTAAAAAACAAGCTGGAGAGCAAATAAGCTCGGATAATTATGATGTAACGTGTGTTGGTTTACTATACGCCGCACTGGGAAGAAGACCATAGCCAGGGGCGGACCCAAGGTATGTCTTGGGGGGGCCGACCCAGCAGGAAAACTTTTTTTCACCTCGTTTTTATTATTTTTTTTAATATTTTGTGTTATTTACCTATTAATTTATACACTTTAGCCCCCAAAGTTATATTTTTTTAACATTATAGTTCAAAAAATTATTCTAGCCCCCCCACACTCAAAATCCCCTGGGTCCGCTGCTGACTATAGCGTAGATTAAATTGCTCGAGAAAACAATGTAGATTGTTTTAAGAACATCACTAGGTCCAAGAGTACCCTTTAAATTTTTATTTGATATTTATCTAAATGTATTTGATTCAATCATATGTATCAAATGGTAGTTAATTAAAGGGGCAATTTGCTATAGTTCCCTCTATATTATAACTTATGTCTATAAATCCAAGTCAAAATCTCCATATTTTAATAAATTAATTATATTTATTGTGGCCAAAATACCCTTAATTTAAATTAAATCAAATCCTAAAAAATCTCTCTATCAAAACAAATTTCCAAAAATCTCTCTTCCAATTATTAACTAAAAAGTAAATCAATTCACAAAAAAAAATATGTAATTTATTTTACTAACTCGTACTCTAAAAACGCTACAGATCACTCCAGGACTTCCCGCGACGCATATGACTCTGTGAACTGCAAATACCAAACTGAAAATTAGATTTTGTGGTATTGAATTGCAAACAACGAAATACCTATGATTTCGTCAAATACAAACAGTAAACTGAAAAAAAAAATCCAGAATTTGCATTATTAAATTGCAAACAAAAAAATTACCTATGAATTCGCCAAATGCAAACAACAAACTGGAAAAAAAATCATCAACATTAAAAACACCAACAAAAAAATTGTTTATGAAACACGTTGCAAACAGCAAAATCATTAAACAAAGTGTTTGTAAAATGTAACTTAAGACATACCTTGCAAATTATAAACCAGATGAATTGAATCTCAACACCAAACGCAATTCTTCAAACAACAAACGAAGTTAAACCAACCTGCAAACGCAAATTGCTAACAACAAACGATGGGAAGGTTTCTACATACGGGAGACACAATGCGAATTTTGGCTACAATGTTATCGATTTCTAAATTTTTTTAGGAGAGGGGAGGGATGTTTGTTGTCCTCTTTAATTCTTTTATCGATAAATTATCTCATATCCCTGTTTTTCTCCTACTCTATAATATTTCTTCATAAAAAAAATAAAGAAACAGAAGAAGAAAAAAAAAAGGCAGAGAAGAACGAGATAGAGAGAGGCGTGAGATTAGATACAGAGGAAGAGAATGAGTGATTAAATATAGGGTGAGAGAAACGTGGGATTGGAGAGAGAATAGATGAAATTTGTTTTCTTATTAATTGAGGGTGTTTATGTCTATATACTAATTATTTTATTTTATTTATATTAATTTTTTGGATCAAAGGACCTAGCCTATATTCATCTAGCAATTAGGATCTCTACCCATATAAGTCCAGAATAAGGGGTGTCTAGCCAATTTCCCCTTAATTAAATTGGTTTATATATTTGATTAGCACATGTCATTTTTTAAAGGGACTATTAGTGAGAACCCCCTCTAACATTATTTTAGTGAGGTCCGATGGATCCAACTCCTTTTCCTTTATTACTGAGAGACCCATCATTTTTTTATTCTCAAATTTACCTTTCTTCTATTCACTACCTATTATACACTACTTTGATGCACTTTTTTTTTTGTTTTTTGTATTTTAATTTACTTTTCGTTTATTATTTATTTTTTATATAAAAAATAATATTTAAAAAAAAAATTAACTTTTTAATATATTTAAAAAATATATATATTTTTACTATATATTTTTTGCCTTTAATTAAAACAACTATATTTCAATAAAACAAATATTATTAAAACAACTGTTATTAAAACAATTATGATTAAAACAACTATATATCTCCAACAACTTTCCTTTATTAAAATCAACTATTTATTTTAGATATAATAGGGCAAATTAGGTATATTAGTCATGTCAAAAATTATATTAATTAAAAAAAATTATTTAATATAAGGTTGGGGTTCTCACTAATAATGAAAAGAAGATTATATCCACCTTAATATAAGTAAATGAATTGGGGGTTTTCACTAATTATCCATTTTTTAAATGGATATTGAGGTGGTTAAATTCATAGCTCACATTTGATTTTTTTTTTTCTTCTTCATGATTTATTTTTACATCATTATAGTGAAATATCATAATACAACCCTAATATGATAACTTCATTGGGCTAAACATTTCTACATTTGAGTATGAAAAGATTAACATATTTTGATAACCCATTTGATAACTCCATGGAATTGCTCTTGCCTCTTTTATATATATGGAAAATTCCACTTTTCTTCTTGTATTTTGGAAGATATCAGTTAACCCCTTCTATTCCCGATTGCATCGATTTGCCCCATGTACTTGAAAAATTGTCTCAATGTGGCCCTCGCTGTTAGTTTTCAGACTTTTGACATTAACACCGTTTGATTTAAGTCTGAAAAGTACAAAAAAAACCACCCCTCTTAATTTAAATAATTATTAAAAAATTTAAAAAAAAAAAAATTGAAAAAAATATGGTTGTCGTCGTGGGCTATACTTTCTCATTGTCTTGGACTTTTTATTATTATTATTTTTATTATTTTTTTATTTAAACTGAGAGGGCCGCGTTTTTGTAATTTCAGGGTTTAGACCGAACGGTGTTAAGGCCAAATGTCTGACAACTAACAACAAGGACCACATTGATACAAAT